GATGAGGAAATCCTTTATTTGGGGGACGGGGGGGATGACGGGGGGATTCCGGAGGATGAGGATATCGCAGTCACTGGAAAATCTTCTAATTCATCATCAGTAAGTGTCATCCCGATGTCATGTCCTGCTGGGTGACTCCGCCCCGCCTGCTCATGGAAAGGCGGAGCTAGGTACAGAGAGGGGCAGAGCTGAGCGATTGGTATGGAAATGGGCGGGGCTACAGGAATACAATCAATACTCAAGATGAGATGAAATTACAGAAGAACTCCGCCCACAGTCCTCATCATCGCCCTCACTGGCTCCACCTCCCTGTCACTGACTCCACCTCCTTCATCAGACGGAGACATCGTTCTTCCTGCCACGGGAGCGTCACACACTGCACGGCCACCGGGAGCCCCACACCGTCCGCTAGCGCCTGCGGGAGCCAATGGGAGCACAGCATGTGTTAGAAGAGGTGCGGCAATATAGCTTTAGGGTGGAGGAACTCCACATTCAGCAGCTGATAAACCGCTGATGGCGGCAGCTCCACCCATTTACACATTATATCACGCACGGGCCTGGCGGCTCCACCCACATACACGACACCTGGGCACAGTGGCTCCACCCACATACACCTGGGCACAGTGGCTCCACCCACATACACATCTTTAGAAGGATTGCAGTGAGTTTCAGGCAAAGAGTAAATTAAATAAGTAGGATTCTGTCCGGCCAGTCTTGTGATATACACGGCTCTGCCAGGCAGTGGGGTCACACTGCTCCTTCTCTGACCAATGATGAGGTTGGAGGCGGAGAGTGTAAATCGCAGGACTGGCTGGACAGAACACGGGATGAACATGTCACCTCCTTCAGTAGTTTGTCCCACAAGTCCCGGTGGTGACCCTCGTAGCTCCTCAGCGCCTCCTCGTCCTCTCTGGTCACCGCGGTAACGGGAAGGACGCCGACAGGAAAGTCCAGAAGATTATATAATACGGTGTAGGATATGGCGACTGGGAGACAGGAAGTCATGTGATCAGGAACAAAGTCAGATAGTTTCATGAAGATGATGGATGGCAGGAACATGGGCGGGGTCTGTGAGTGGGCGGGACCTTCCTTACCCCACAAGTGACCTGTCAGCAGAGAGATTCTGCAGTCCCCCCCCGGCCCCTCCACTCATCTGCAGCCCCC